CTTTTTTCTTTTTGCTTATGTGGTGCTGAGGAATCAAACCCAGGGCCTCATGCATGCAAGGCAAGCACTCTACCACTGAGCCACCTTCCCAGCCCCATTACCTGAATTTTTATATGAATTAAGCCTCACAGATTAGCTGATAATAATTTATATCTGATAAAAGTTCAGGTGTAGACACCAGAATTTTGAAAGATAGAATGAGACTGTGTTGGAATATCTCTGATGGCTGGCTCTGTTTTATCAATAGGGATAACTAGCAGGACTCTCAACCCTAACCTTTGCACTAAACCAACATAGAGAGTTGTCTGTGGGACCCTGATAGGAGGTGAAGCAAACCAATTCAAAAGAAAAGAAATAATTTGGCATATAGAGTAGAAAGTTTTTAATAACTGAAGGAATAGAGGTACCTAATTTTAATACCGGCATTAAAGAAATCTGGATTATAATTGGCCATGTCATGATTTTCTAACACTTTCCATATATACATATATATATGTACATATACACATGTATATGTATATATGAGGAAAGTGTTAAAATATATATGTGTACACACACATTTTCCCCTCTGAACTTGGCAAAGAACTGCTGTTGGTTTTCTTATTCCCTGTTTTTACCTGGGGACAGCAGCGTAAGGTGTACGCATCCTGAACACGATCGCAGAACCTGTGGCTCTCTGTGGAACAGTGGGAGGATAACATGGAACAAATTACCAACCTTCCCACAGAACACAGAACCAAATGAATTCACTCATATAAACATGGTCAGACCTGCAATTTCTGATGGGTGGTGATCTGAGTCCAAGAGCGACCGGAACCGAAAAGCAACTTCAATCTGCCCACGCTGAGGGCGGACGGCATGAATGTCTAGCATTGAGGAAGGGAAGAAAGGTCTCAGAAATTCTGATATTAAGGTGAACTACTGTTAGAAGACCAGCCAAGGTTCTGACACAGGCTTCAAAAGTCTCAGGGGCCCCTAATCTACCACTCAGAATTAAAACATAATTCCTTCTTGACTTTATTCTTTCTACTTCAATTAGCTGAGTGCAAACTGTGTGTTTCATACACTAGGACTTGAACTTGAGACATCAAACTTACCCTTGAAGGAACTGGACTGAGGCTAGCTCAGATAGTGACCTAATTAAATTCATTTTTGAAATAGCTTTCTACCCTACTTCTTACAGTACTGGGTCTGAAACTCCTTTCTTAATAAGCTACCTCTATAGTTTTTCTTCCCCCCCCCATCCCCCGCTTTCTAATCAGGACAATTCTAATCTTATTCTAAGTGCCAAGTCCTGCAAAGAGACTTCTAAAACAGTACTGTACTTGACGGGACCAGATTGTGAAGTGATCTGTAGCAGGTCATCCGCTTCTCAAGGTCAGTGGATGTCTGTCATATGGTTGTTGGCAGAATAAAGTGTGGCAGAACTTGATAGATGTAGCTGTACTGGTACTGGGCACCTCATGGATTCCCAGGTTGTCTCTTTCTTCTCCACCACCTACCCCTGCCACCACCACTCCTGTGCCTAAGGATCTCAATTGACTGCCCACCAACTCCGGATGAATGGACAAATGCATAGAAGCCCTGTGCTGACCTGTATCGAAGGCTTTGGTGGTGCCCTTCAGCACCTCAAGGGTCAGGGCTGCCACAATGTCAGCCTGCCGGGCAATGGCACTGGCTCTCTCCACAGCTTCGCAGCCCAAGGAGGTGATCATCTGTGTCCCATTGATTAGTGCCAGGCCCTTTGGAAAGGGAGAGAAAAGTTGTCTACCGTATTTATTGTAATTAACCTACCTACAGGTGGATTTCATGCCTTTTGCTTTTGTAAGAGAAAAAGCAGCCATTCAGCGGAACTAGGGCTAGCCTGTTTTCTCAAGTACAGGGAAGTGGGCGCACGTGAGGAACAAATGCCATGATAATGGAGTTACTAGTATAGGTCTGAAAAATGCATGTCTTGAAGAATGTCTCTGTTCTCAGGGCAGCCATGTAACTGGAGAGCAGTTTACACAGGCAATCTTTAATTATTCCACTTCCTTTCTTCTTTACTTTCTCCCCAGTATACACAAGACATTCTAAAACAATCTGGTCAATACCTTGTGGCGTGGGGCTTTTTATTTTTATTTTATTGCTGGTACTGGGCTTAAACTCTGCCTGGGCACTGTCCCTTAGCTTCTTTTTTACTCAATGCTGATGCTCTACCACTTGAGCCAGGGCTCTACTTCTGTCTTTCTGCTGGCTAATTGGAGATGAGAATCTCACAGACTTTCCTGTCCAACTGGCTTCAAACCACAATCCTCAGATCTCAGCCTTTTGAATAGCTTGGATTATAGACATGAACCACCAGCTGACTTGCTTGGAACATCTTAGTGGCCCTCAGTGGAGAATAACGTGCTGGGCTCCTCAGAGAACTGGATTTGAAGGTTCAGTTCCTAAGAGAGCCCCCAAGCATTTGTGCCATGAAGAATCTTTGAAATGCTCATGAAAATGCCTTTGTTCAGTGAGCAACTTTCTACAAACACTTAAGTCACTTTTGTGTCAAGGATGTAGTAAGACTGTTAAGAATGAAAATAGTGCATGAATAAAGACTTTAAAATGTACCAAAATTTTCTTGAATTTCTTTACCTCTTTTGGTTTTAAAACAACTGGTTTCAACCCATGAGCTTCTAGGACCTGTAGAGTGATTTTTTAAACAAAATATAAAAATTAGTATCAACTGTTATACTAACCCATTTCTGATTCCTGTGTCATTTAATTAAAGATTTTCTAGGCCAAATGTCCATTTTATAAAAGATTAGAACCACATACATTGATTCTGATCATTTTCTTAGGTCAGAAAGCATATTTAGTTTTCAAATGATGTTTGGCCTTAATCCAGGGCTCCGTCGTCTACAGAATCAATCTCAGTTTTGAGTTCCTTTACATTCAGTTTCCACTTTCGTGACTCACCTCTCTGATTGCTAGTTCTTGACACACCTGGGGCTAGCTTAAGGCTGGGTTCCTAGCTGCCTCTAGAGCTTGACTTAGAAAAGTCATCCACCCTGGTATCTGCTTTGTCTATCACTGGCAGAACTGTGGACCAAAGCTTTCAGGGCAAATGGGCACACCAACAAAAAGAGTAGGGGCTACAGAAACCCCTCAACTGGGTTGAGTCAGAATCCTGAGGGGAAAGAGGCAGTAGAGTCTTCTTCTGAAACAAAAGAGGTTTAAAAGAAAAAGAGCCACTATATTAAGGTTCCTCTAGCAAAGAGGGAAAGAGGAGTTACAGTAAGAGAAAGACAGAATGAGTACCTGTTCACTATGTCCATTTCTCAGGGGGATTTAAGTAACTATCGCTTACCAGTTTCTCTTTGGGGTGTTAGGGTGAGGCTGAGGGTGGGAGGAAGGGAGACAGAGGAATCCAAGACTGAGGATGAAGGAGGTGTGTTGGGCACAAATAGGAAAATAATCACATAAGCTGCTCAGAGAGCGTGAAGGGATTTGCGGGGAGGACAGGGTCAGGAAAAGGCCCAAAGGAGCAAGCAGCACAACTAGAGAACTTTTCAGAAGGAAAGAAAAGCAAGGCAAGAAGAATGTGCTCACTCTGGGCTCTCTGCCCAGCCATCAGCAATCCCCAGATTCTATACTGGAGAGCTGTGACAGGCCGTAGAGTGGGATCACATGACAAAGACAACTCTTCAGCCACATTAAGTCTGCACTTTATGCTGAGGACAATGGAAAACATTTCAGAACATGCCTGGATTTGCCATTGACTCAGGTCAGGCTGAATGCTGTGTGAGGGTGGTTGGGAAAACACTGTTGATAGAGAAATGATCAAAATCAGGCTGCAGGACAGAAAGATGATCAGGGAGGCTGTCCCTCTAGAAGATGACCTAGTCCTTGAACTTTTTCTCCTCCTTGGCCCTCTGCCTCTTTCACTTCCATTAGGAGTCCTCTAGCACGTTGTTCTGATTCTTTACATGATGCTTTGGGACTGGGAATTTGGAGGCTAAAAAAAAACATTAAAGCTTTATCACAACCTTTCTGATTAGCTACCAGGGAAGAGCTTGAAGAAGCTGCTTTTCAGAGATGACAGAGAGCATTCTAGGAACTACAGCTCTGCACAGGTTAAGACCAGTTCCTAAATCCAATTTGGACAATGTGAAACCCCTCCCCCGACATGCCCACTGGCAGTTGATAGGTGCCAGATCAATTCCTGTGATTCACACTTGCAGTCATACCTTTGCACTGAAGTGATACAAAAATCCTAGAGGTTGGTAGTCAAGTATATGCAAGATGATCACCTTGCCTAGTTTGACTTCCAAGCTCCAGTCGACTCATTTCTAGCTTAAGGATAGGAGTGGCTCCTTCATTGGGATGTTATAACTATTCAGAGACATAACGCATGCAGTAATATGTGGGGTCCAGCCTAGGAATGTCACCATCATCTAATCAAGTGGTTATGAAAGTCTTACATATTTCGCATCAGCCCAGCCACTCTTTGGGGACCACATCTTCCCTTCTCCAATTAACCCAAGCGCAAGATGAGCCAGCGGGGCAAGGTCTCCACTGGCACCAACAGTTCCTTTCTCTGGCACGTACGACAGGCAGGAGGCTACGAGAGAAGTAGAAGTAGGTACCAATTACCTCTAGACTACTTATGTCAGTGTGGTTACTTGCTTTGAGTGTGAACACTTCCCCCCTCTCCCTCCTCCCTCCTACCAGCAATAGCACCATTCTGTGCTGTAAATACCTGAGGCAGGACAATTCCTAAAGCACATTATTGTTTAAAGTTCCAGCTGAGCTCCATGGGTAGAAGGAGAGAGGAGTGGATGGAGAAGGGGAACGAGGAAGGAAGGAAGGAAGCAAGCAAGCAAGCAAGCAGGAAGAATAAGGAAAGGAAAGAAAGGAGAGAGGGAGGAAAGAAGGATGGAAGTGAGGGAAGGAGAGAGGAAAGGAAGAATAGAAAGGAGGGTGGGAGGGACAAAGGAATGAAACAAGCAAGCAAGTATGGAAGGAAGGAATGGAAGGATGGAGGGAAGGAAGGAGGAACAAGTTAAGAAAAAAGGATGACTTCTTCCTCCCAGTAGCAAAGACTGTAATCTGATCAATACTTCCATTTCTAGAAATTCTAGCTATGTACCTCAAAGCCATAATCAGGACCCAGCTGATGCTCATTACAGCCTTGTTTGGAAGAACATACAGTTAGAAATTATCTAGATATGGAATTAAGGGTCATTTGTGCAACCAAATCATATGATTTTGTCATTAGCAAATGTCTGAAAATAGGTAAATATTGACCATTTAAAAGTAATGTGAGATGGGCTGGGAGGGTGGCTCAGTGGTACAGTGTTTGCCTCACATGCATGAGGCCCTGGGTTTGATTCCTCAGCACCACATAAGCAGAAAAAGCTAGAAGTGGTGCTGTGGCTCAAGTGGTAGAGCGCTAGCCTTGAGCTGAAGAGCTGAGGGACAGCGCCCAGGCCCAGAGTTCAAGCCCCATGACTGACCAAAATAATAATAATAATGTGAAATACTTGAGAAGAACATGGTGCACTGAAGTGTTAACACCAGTTCTCTGGGGGTGGTGAGTTCATAGGCAATTTGGTCTCACTATTATTGTTTGTTTGTTTGCCTGTCATTCAGTCAGTCACCTATCACCACTTTTAAGTGACTATGAACTGTTTTATTGAATTTCCTCTGAAAAGTTACCAAAAAAAAGTTTCTAAAATGAAATCAGACTCCTGATAGTGGTGTTTTCCCCAACTTTTAAGTAGTGTTAGTAGATTGGGCATGGTGGTGCACACCTTGTAAAAACCAGCTCTTGGAAGGTGGACAGGAAGACTGAAAGTTTGAGGCCAGTCTGGGGTATATAGTAAGACCCTATCAATAATAGTAATAGTAGTAGTAGTAGTAGTGATGATGTTGTTGATGATGATGATGATGGTTTGAGTAGTATAAAGCAGCTTCATCTATGCACAGGCCAGCTTCCAGACCACAGTTTACTTCGGGGTATTCTCAGCATAATAGGGAATGTAGACTCACCATCAAAGCACAGGGGAATTCAAGGTTGGAGTTGTACTGTCTGGGATTTAAGGGTTGGATGTGCAGCACAGCTCTATCAAGACTGTAGGCTTATATTCAAACTTCACTGGTTGGCCAATCACATGTATGAGTCACGTATGTGCCTATAGCAAAGCAACTGGAGTGTGTGTGTGTGTGTGTGTGTGTGTGTGTGTGTGAGTGCGAGTGCACATGTGCATGTGTGTTACCAGTCATGGGGCTTGAACTCAGGGCCTGGTTGCTGTCTCTGAGTTTTCTACTCAAGACTAGCCCTCTACCACTTTGGACCACAGCACTACTTTTAGTTTTCTGGTGGTTAATTGGAGATAAGGGTCTCACTGAGTTTCCTACCTGGGCTGGCTTTAAACCACAATCCTCAGAGCTCAGCCTCTTGAGTAGCTAGGATTACAGGCATGAGCCACTGGCGCTCAGTATAATGTGTGTCTTGTCTATGCTGCTGCAAGGCCCTGCTTCTCTTCCCACTCCTTTACCCATGAAGCTCCTGAGCTAGAAGTTTTATCCTTATCTTTGAGAAACAAACAGTGCTTCCCAACCCTTGTCAATCTCTCCTCTTCTAAGAAGAAAGCTCCAGAGTTGAGTTGTATAATGATTTTATAATTAAGCAAATAATTAACCTCATTATACACCTGTTCCACTTTTGTAAGAATTTGGATTTCAGGGTGAGTCTAGCTGGTCTATCAGCTAGCAGGCAGCCAGGCATACAAACTAGGCTTCGATATAGATGCCACCCAGCAATCCTTTCATTCTCTACCTACTATGGGGCAATTTCTCTAATCATTTATAGATATCACTGAATGGAAGGTTATGTCGAGGCCTGAATTTAAGAGCAGGCTTAAGAAGGTCTCAGTCTAATTTTCCTTTCTACTGTTTTATTTTTTTTTGTCTAGGTGGTACTGGTGTTTGAAATCAGAGCCTCATGCTTGTTTGTTATGCCACATACTCAGGCCTTTTTTGTTTTAGTTATTTTTCCAGATAGGACCTCACTTCCAGATATCCTATTACCTCCAATGCCAGCCCCAACTATGATCTTCTAACTATGCCTCCCACTTAGCTGAGATCACACAAGTATACCACTACACTCAGCATTTTTGGTGATCTAAAATCTCACTAACATTTTGCTCAGGCCTGCCTCAAACTTTGAACCTCATGATCTCTGCCTCTTGGTTATCTGGAATTACAAGTGTGTACCATCATGCCCAGCTCATTCTACTCTTAGAGATGCCAAATGTTAAAGTGAGGGTACTATAGGCTAGGCTAACATTCTAGGAATGACTATCTCTGCCTCTCACACCCTCAAACCTTCTTCTAGCTCGTCCTTCTCACCAAGCCCAGTTCCCACTCAGCTCAATTAATTTGTCTTCATATCTCAGCTGATATCTCAACATCCACAATGTCACTCACGTCTACCTTATAGGATGTGCCCAGGCTCCAGGAAAAGTCAGCCTAGGAATCCATTGTCTTACCATTAAATACATCAATGACTTGTTTGAGGGTCTCCAGGGAAATGCCACTGTAACCTTTGGCTAAGACATTGATCCTTAAAGCCAAGAGCATCCGGCACCTCTCAGGGCTGAGTGGTTTTCCAACACCTACAAAACACGATTCATATTTTTTTCTCCAAGAAAACCAAATATTTTACTACCTTTTGGCTTTGTCCACCCCTCAACTCTTCTCCCAGCCCAATCTCTAAGCGGCTTTCTACAGTTGCTTCGATCACTCTCCCTGCTGCTTGTCTTGCTTCTCCAAAGGCTTGTCCAGACAAAGGTAAGGCCCAGGATTCCCTTCTCCATGCCCCGTCCCTTGAATTCTTCAGTGAACCCCCTACCTTCCAGAAAACCTTTATAATAGTGAAGAGACTCCTCTGGGTTTAATGGGGCCTGCACCTTGACAGATTTTCCCACTCATCTGGCTAACCCTCAATCATTCTCCATATACTTTCTTCTCTGAATGCGCCACTATCTCTACAGGATGCTCTACATGCTCTTATGCCAACCTCACCCCTCCACCTGGAAAGGTGGTCCTGCCTGATGCCATCTGCTGCCTTTTGGCCCCAGCACTCAGTTTCTGGAATGCACTTGGCACAATGACTTGTTGTAATATGCTTTTTCATGTAATCAAACAAAATCTGTTGAATCAGTTACCTGAAGAATGGGAACGAACTAGGTTGACCTGAAGCTCCCTGGAAGAAAAAGATACACAACTTACTTAATAACCTCTGGTTAAAAAAAAATCCCCTAGCTTGGGAGAGGAGAAGCATAATTAAATCTTTGGGCAGCCAGCCAATCTGTTTTCATTTCCAATTCAGATATAAGTGAACCCAAGCCTTGCCCTAGTTATCTGTTCACTGGGCACAGGCCAATGACTTGCCTTGTTGAACAAAATCTCAAAGATAGAGAAGTCTGGGACTTGAGTGTATGTGTGTTTGAAACTTACTGTAGCTTATTGACAGGAATTACGGTTCTGGCAAATTTCCCAAAACCTGTAGTAATACCATATACAACTAGAATAAAACAAACAGATATTCCATAATTAGATGTGGCAGATTGCATTTGTCTATAAAAGAATTGGATGGCACCAAGAGTACAAGATACCTGTCTGTTCTTTGATGATGCTATTTATGACTTCTCTGGACTGCTGTACCTTCTTTTCAGCAATTGAAGTGAGCTGGGAAAATGGTCATCAGAAGTGAGCACATGAAAGACTTCCATATCGGGTGAAAAATGGTCACAGGGCATCCTTCCTTCCCTCTCTCTCCCAATACCTTTATTTTGTAGTGTCCCTTTCCCAAGTTGACCAGGTCTGTGGTGGTCAAACTGTCCCCATCTAAGGCGATAAACTGCACAAGAGGAGAGAATCCCAGTGAGTATGGGGGGCTTCACTGCTCTACTTAATCCAGAAGAATCAAAGTTGACACTTGATTTTACTATGGTTGTAAAATAATACTGTGCTAACAAAAACAGACAGCTTGCTGAAGAGACTATACAAGGAAAAGTTAGAAATGTAGACACTCCGTGCCTTCCCAGCTCCTTTCTCTATGACACAGGACGAGGTCCTGTCCTAGAGGATAGAGTTTACTCTGAGAGTCGCTGGCTTTCCTCCTCCACTTCCTCCTTAAATGAGAAATGTGACGTTGTTTTCCCCACAAAAAGGAAATGATTTGCTACGTACCTTTTCCGGCTCTTTATATTTGCTGTATCTGATGTCAGGTAAAGGAAAATTCTGGAAGTGTGGGAAAGCCCCAGTCGTAGCCCCACAAAGGTGGGTAGAACCCTTGGAACTGACCAAAAAGACAGCAGGAAAGGATACAGATAAACTCCTTCTGGTTGTGAGGGAATGAAGTCAGGGGACATTGCATCTCCTTCTATGACTGAAACAAGAAGGCAGGAGACAGCTCTTAGAAATCACAAGGCAGAGCTCCGCATGTGGATTGTGCTGCTAGATCATCTATCCATTGCCCTTGAATTGTATGGAGATGGCTGCTTCACAATGCCTTCCTGTGCTTCCCCATACCTCAGCATCTTCACACTGGACTCTCAGGCAGAGATGTAGCCAGGCACTGGTGATTCACACCTGTAATCCTAGCTACTCAAGAGGCTGAGATTTGGGATTACAGTTTGAAGCCAGCCCAGGTAGGAAAGTCTGTGAGAGTCTTATTTCCAACCCCCCCCCCCGCAAAAAAAGCGCCACGAGTGGACCTATGGCAAAAGTGCTAGAGTGTTTGAGTGCCAGCCTTGAGTGAAAAAGCTAAGTAAGGGGCAATGCCCAGGCCCTGAGTTCAAGTCCCAGTACTGGCACGCGCGTGCACACACACACACATACACACACACACACACACACACACACACCACACATGCACACACATGGAACCATAGACATGAGTTTAACTGGAAGCTTAAGACCTAGTCCCCACCTCCACCTCCACCTCCACTTTGCAATGTTGTCTTTTAGGTCTGAATTCCTGACACCTCTGAGCTGCTGGAAGGATACATTTTTCTTCACAGTGCCGGTGTGATAGCAAAGGGATCCAAACCTGCAATCGCGGGTTCCGGTTTGGACCTTGTCACCTACGGCTGCCTGGCTTTGGGAAGTCACCACCTCTGGGTCGGTTGCTCCCTTTGGTGTGAGGACCTGGTCGCTGAGGCTTGACCCAAGGCAAGCACAGCTAGCCTCATCATTTCTCCTGAAACGAGGGTGACCTGTCCAGCTCCCTCCAGGCCTGACGGACAAATCTGCGCCCCCCTACCCCAGTTTGCCCCCCCTTCCCGGCAGCCACTCACCCACTTCCACGAACTCATTGTCCTCCAGAGCCACCTCCAGCAGATCCTCGTTGTCCAGCAAGCCTAGACCTTTGCACCTGCGCACGAGGAAGCGCACGGCGTCCACCGACGCGAAGCCACCGTTGTCCGGCTTGTTCTTCATGTAGCGCCGCACGGCCTCGCGGCCCAGCCAGCCCACTGTGAGCCGGGCATCCTGGCAGGGCACAGCCAGCCATTCTCCGCGCACGTGCACTGTGTACCTGGGCATGGCTCTTCTGTAGGCGACCCTGCTGTCAACCGGGTGCCTGCACCTCCCAGAACACAGTCCCAGGAAGGAAGAGTTTTTATCCAGAAGTGACTTTTCTGGGTGTGTGTGTGCGCGGGGCGGGGAGGGGGAAGAGGTTAGGAGCACGAGGATGGACTTTTCAAAACACACCCCTTCTGTCTCCTTTACTCATTCATGCGCTGGACAAATATTTATGGAGGTTTCATGGGGGTGGGGGTGGGGATGTCCTTTTGGCTTTTTCCAGTTGGGCTAGAAGAGGCACACACACACACACACACACACACACAGAGGTGAGTCACCTGCTCACCTGCAATCCAGGCCTACCTGGACTCTCACATCTGGAAGGCTCAGCCCTTGCTGGTATCTGCTGTTAGCCCGCTCTGGCTAGGCCCCCCTGTCCCTATTCTCCTCCATGGAAGGCAGCTTTATAAACACTCTGTCCCGGTGACTTTATTGAGAATTACTCAATTGTAAAATACACTCTGCTAGCCAACTGTGACACCCAGGAGTGGGAGTTTGGCAATTTTCATTCATTTGTTTATTTCACAACCATGTTTTGAGCAACTGTTCCCTGCCACCCCAGAAGTGCTGTTAAAGCTCTTGATCCACAAAGGAAGACTGCAAAGGCCAGAGATCATTTTTCCCAACTCAAGGTCATCTGGACCAATGAACTACCAGGGCTTAAAGGATCATTCTTTATTGTTCTTGAGTAAGAAGAGTTATTCGCTTGTGTCTGCATTCAAAGGTGAATGGGATAGCCAACCACTTCAGTAATTTGTAGACAGCCCTTGATACTGGTCCTATGATTTACCAGCTGTTTGACCTTTGGGAAAATTAGTTGACTTTTTTTTTTGGGGGGGGGGCAGTCGTGGGGCCTGAACTCTGGGCCTGGGCGCTGTCCCTCAGCTCTTCAGCTCAAGGCTAGCGCTCTACCACTTGAGCCACAGTGCCACTTCCAGAATTTTTCTTTTTGCTTATGTGGTGTTAAGGAATCGAACCCAGGGCCTCAGGCATGCAAGGCAAGAGCTCTACCACTGAGCAACCTTCCCAGCCCCTGGTTGACTTTTCTAGGCCTCAGTTTCCTCATTGGTAAAACAGAGCTAATGATAACAGCTATTGCAAAGAGCTTCAGGGAGGACAAAATGGATTCACATATGGGAAGCCTTGGCTTTCCCAGCAAGTTGGAAATATATGGGAAGCCTTGGCTTTCCCAGCAAGTTGGAAATGCTCTGGAAATATTTGGGATCAATATCATCAGGACTTTAACACTTTATCACCTCTGGTTTGTGCATATTCTTTCATCATGGTACCTGGATATCCCTAATTCAATTATTCTTTTTCACCACAGACAAATGCTTCCTGAACCCAATTCGTTGCCCGTAGCATGAAGGAACTCTGCGTAGTATGGGAGAAGTTCTCAAAGAAATGCATGTACTCTTTTCACTAAGCACTCTAGCATTAAGCTAGTTTTTAGAAATTGGATTATTACAATAGAAAATCCTGAAAAGTCTGTTTCTATTACACCAGACCTCATTAGAAATAGAGACAGACAGTCACTCCACATCCACACCCAGAGGCTCTGTCTTCTTCATGCAATCTAATTGAAATTTGCAACCCTAGACATATGCCTACGTGTGTAGGAAAACACACAACCTGGGTCCTCATAAGAAGCTGCAATTTCTGTTTCCTTGAACAGAAGACTACTGCAGAAGGTCCAGTGATCCATGCATGTCTTCACACCTCTCCTCAATATACACCCATCCATTTTTTTTTTTTTTTTTGGTCAATTGTAGGGCTTGAACTATTGCCCTGGGTGCTGTCCCTGAGCTCTTCAGCTCAAGGCTAGCGCTCTACTACTTGAGCCACAGTGCCACTTCTGGTTTTCTGAGTGGTTTATTGGAGATAAGATTCTCATGGACTTTCCTTTTCGAGCTGGCTTTGAACCATGATCCTCAGATCTCAGCCTCCTGAGTAGCTAGATACAGGCGTGAGCCACCGGCACCCGGCATATACCCCATCCAAGTTTGAGGTAAGCCTATCTCCCACATCTGTGGAAAACTGAAGCCCTCAGATGTGAACTACCTTCACTCCGCCATCCTCCATCTATTCATTCAACAAATCACATATGGGATGATTACCTGCTATGTGCCAAACTCCATCTGAGGCGCCAGCGATGAAGTTAAGACAGTCTCTGCCTTTATGGTGCTTCCTGTGTAGCACGATGGATACAGACTTAAAAGACTACCCAACTACTATCCAACTACCCCCTAGGCCAGGAAGGGACCTCAAACCACAAGATGACCCAGCTGACAAACCTCAGCTGAGCCCTGTTTAACTGTCAAGTTGAATTTAAGTGATCGAACTCACCTAATGCTATTTGAGGACTCTACACGCAGACCCTAGACATTGTGGAGATTTACTAATACGATTCTTTCGGTCATATAGTTCCCAACTTCCTTTTCTTGGCTAGGTAATTCTTGTTCTTGAAATCTCAATTTGTGTCTTTTCCAAACAGCAGTCCCTAAACCTTTCAGTTGACAGCTTTAGTAAGCCTCACCCTTCTTTTAAAATTATCTACAAATTGCTTATCTTTGTTTGGTAATTATGCATTCAGCTTTAGCCGACAGTCAGCTACTCACTGTATGCTTATTAGCTGAACAGTAAACTCTTTGGCACCCTCCCTAGGTAAACCTAGGAAGGATGCTGGTCTCTAGCGCCCTCTACTCTCAATAGTGCCCTTCTACATGACTTACTAAATGGCATTAGAGTTTGTCCTATAAGCTCACAGGGCAGAAGCTTTAAATAACATTATTTTGGTATGTGGATTTGCACTAGTCACGTAGGACATCCTTCTATGTACCAGGGTTTGTTGAACTCTTATCCTGGTAATCTTGGGAAAGAAGGCAAATGAAACCTGAGCCTTGAAAACCAGAATCACATTGCAACATAATGTCCAAAAGAATAGAGCTGCAAGGAGAGAGGGAGCCAGAAGACTCAGGATTCCAGGAATAGGGAGGCGTTGGCTCCTTTGATATCTACCCTATCTCTGGCTGTTCACGTCTATCTTAAAACAGGAATGACTCTATGAATGACGATATTGATGATACCACCCACCCAGACTTCAATTCCCACAAAACTCCTGTTCGTTAATTTGGCAAAGGTGTAACCAATCTGGGTCTGAGTCTCACCTGAGAATTGCCAGGTAGAGATGGAGGGTGTGCAGGCCGGACACGGACTAGAGACACACAGATGACACAAGTGCCGACGGCTCAGTAACCCATTTCTGTCAAGTCCACACTTTCTTCTGAGATCCCCCCCCCCCAGTCCTTATATTCTTTAAATAATCTTCCTCTTCTCTTGTTGTTTTGGGCTACACTGATTCCCAAACTGTGGGCCGAAGCTTCCTGGGGCATCACACTGCATGCACCCGAGTGCTTTGTTGTACTTGTCTTTTATTTGGTGTTTCTATATGCTATGTGCTCCTTGTGGGTGAAAAGGAGGCGATGAGGCAGACTTGCTGAGGAACTGATGAAAGGCACTGAGGTTCAGTGTGGCCATCTAAACCATGAAGAACAAACCAGGGCAAATCCAGCGGATCAGCAGGCTCCACCCAGGACTGCGGAGCAGAAGACTCCCGCTTGTGTGGGCATGTTGTAGGGCTTGAACTCAGGGCCTGGGAGTTCTTATACTCAAGGCTAGTGCTCTACCACTTTGAGTCACCAGGCAATTTTGGGTTTTGGGTAGTTGACTGAAGATTAAAAGTCTTATGGACTTTCCTGCCTGGTCTGGCTTTGAACTGCAATACTCAGATCTCAGCCTCCTAAGTAAATAGGATTACAGGTGTGAGTAACCAGTGCCTGGTAGTGTAGGTACTTTGGAAGGGAGTCTGTCCCATTCAGTAGGTGGGTAGTAAATCCAACTAAGTGTTCATCTAGAAGGTTACTTTGAAAGCAAAATGCTAATCATACTAAAATTTTGATTTGCAGCAGATCTGGATAAATTTCAATAAAACATAAGGGAAATAATATGTTTATATTCTTTGTGAACATACTGAGAGACAATTAAGTTAACTGAAACATTTAAACTGGGCTTGATGGCACATGCCTGTAATTCAAGTACTCAGAAGGCTAAGGTAAATTTGCAAATTTGCAGGGAATGTGGGCTCATAGTTAGACTCTATCTCCAAAAAAAAAAAGTTTTTAGATATGCCGATCAAGATTTTTAAAGTTTACTACAATTTACTTAACAAAGAATATACCACTATTTGAAAAGGTAGCAAAAGGTAGACAAATATAAAAAGCCAAAACTAAAGATACTTTTAATTATAATGTAAGGCAAAGTTTCATATTTCTTCATGACTTTATTTTTTAAAAAATGAAGTTTCTGAAGTCATCAACAGGTAGGTTCTTTCTTAATCGACATTTAAGTCTCTCCCCACCAGCATCGCAGTCACGGGATGCATACTGGCTTTGTGCTCTTGGTAGGTACGAATGGCTTGATCGTGGGATTTGTCAAAGGCAGCAAGATCCCTGCCAATGGGAGGAAAAAAGAGGAAAAGAAGAAGGAAAGAAGGAAAAGAGAAACAGAAAGGGGGAGAGAGAGATGGAAGGGATTGGAGAACAAGAACATAAGTCAATACTTGAGATTAAATTTAAAATGACAGCATAGGAGATAGCTAAGTATCAGACAAAGCATATATCCCAGCCAATCAGGTGCTCTGTATCAATCTCTGTGACACTAGTGTGTCACAGATATTTTAGGCACTGCAGCACCACTTCTGGCTTTTTTCTGTTTATGTGATACATGGAAGAATTGAACCCAGGGCTTCATGCATGCTAGGCAAGCACTCTACCGCTAAGCCATACTCCCAGTCCCATTGTAAAGTACCTTAACAGCAAATATGTGTAAAAGGTAGCTTCCCATTTTTTGTATAAGTAAGAAATAAGATTTGTCTTACTTGAATAAGGGTCGTGTGAACTTCATTCTTCCTTGTTCAGTTGCCATTTTGAGAGCCAAAGGAATCGCTTCCTCCCACTTCGATTGAATGCAGAGTCGTAACCATCTGAAAGGAGAATTTTAGGAGGTGTGGAAGAAAACCAAGAGAAAGGAAATGAGTATCACTATCAAGATGAAAAAATCCATTGTGGTGGTATTGTACTTTACTCTGAGAATTTTGAATGTGGACACATACAGTTTAACAACTGGAGAAGAGAAGGAAGAGGAGTTTTGTTCTTGAAAAAGATCATACTAAAAGATCATATTAAGTTTTAAAAGTTTTGGATTATGGAGGTGCTCATGGGCCTTATGAATTTATGCAATTTCAGAAACTAAACTTTGGTTTAAACCTTAAGCTACCAATTTGAAGTAAGAAAAATTAAGATATAACAGAAGCAAAAGTTTCTAACTGTTCTCATTTCAGATTTGATATGTCTGGTTGTGAAAAGGCCTATTTACAATTGTATCCTTCATTCTAATTTTTTTTTTAAGTCAAGAAAGCTTAAACCCAAACTAACAAAAGATCAATATTACCATCTTATGGACAATGCAAGTATTCACTAAACAGACTTCGATGATTTACGTAAACGTAGTAAACTTGACAAGGCTTTCTCACACTCTGCTTTCCCTTTCTCCATCTTTTAAGCTATCGTTCTGCTTTCTTCCACAGAGACAAGTTAAAATGATGTACCTGAATCGTATTTCAGAATTGTTAATGGCATTGAAGTTGTACACCTCTTGCATTCGCTTTATGTGCCCCAATGGAAGAGGTGCCTAAGAGCAAAATAAAGAAGTATAATGTATCATTTCAACAGGATTCCTTGGAAGAAAGGAGCTGGAGAGAAATTCTTAGCCAAATTAAAATCCTATGTATTTTATAATATAGAAATGTTAGATAAAATAAACAAATGTATTCTAAAGTAAGTCTTGTGCAAACGTATTCTGGATTAAAGATGTTCTATTGGGAACAATAATTACCTTTTAAGGTACTACAAAAGAATTAAAGGAGAATTACTCTCCTCAGATGTTTTAGATACTACCTTCCAGACACTTTGCAGAATATTTCAAGTTCTGCCTACACCTTCTATATAGCTTAAATGTAGCCCAGTTTCAGATTAAATCACTGTTCCTCAAATGTCATCAATGATTGTCCCTGACTTTATCATTGTACATTTCCTCTGAAATCTCTTATAAAAAATCACAGTTTTAAAACTTTTATATTATAGGACCCTTTGAAGCCTGATGAATAATATGAACTTTCTCCAGGGGGCAAACTGCATTTACCATATTAATACAAACTTCTGTATACCATTTGAGGGGGCTCATGATCCTCCTGTGGTCATGTCAGCCCACACGACAGGGAGGAACAAGCATGGATGAAGGAAGGAAAGGAGAGGAGTTCAGTTTGGACAGGTAGAGTTTGAGATGTCTGCAGAGATTCCACTAGGGAGACGGTACTTCTGCTCTCCAGCCACAGGCTCCTTACCTTACAGGACTCACTCCGTGCGTGGTAACCATCTCTGCTCTCACTAGCTGCTAGTGTACACTCAACACTATTGAGTGTATCTGCTCTGGGGAGGACTCATTCACATCCAAGTCCACCATGGCAGGCCAACTGGCTACCTGGCTTTCTCCAGGTGTTGACATACCTAAGCCCCAGTCATCCCATTAGATCTTCTCTCTTCCTAAATCCAGAAATTTAGGAACTTGTAGACTGATGCCTTCTTACGAAAATGAGGTCCCCATTGCCGCAAAATCCTATGCTTCATTTTGGCATTAATTCCAAAGGAAATTCTGCTTAAAATTTTCTCTATCCCCCTTGAGGTTTTTAAGCTGAGGAGTGTTCCCTTTATTGTAATACTTAAAGAGCCAGTCATTATTTCCCTCCCGTGCTGTCTCGTACATTCTCTTATTAGTGCAGTTGAACTTAAAATCTGTTTGGACTTTTTCCTGTTCAGCCCCAAACACGGTCAACTACAAAGCCCTGTGCTTTCATTCTGTGCAAACTTGCTCATCAGGCCTAGTCTTGCCTTCCTCTCCTGCGCACTCCCTCACCACCCTCCTCCCACCCCCAACTAGTGTCCCTACACTGAAGCCATCACATCACCTGTAGTTTGAATGAGCCATGACCCACAGATTCATCAGATGATTCCCTTCTTTCTAACCAGAAAAAGATCTAAACTTCTTGCATAGCATTCAAGATGAATCATGGCTGGGACTCACAGTCTTTCTAGCGATCCCGTCATTGTTCTCCAACACAGCCTGGCTGTGCACTCAAGGCTGGCTCATTCCATGCCCACCATTCCTCAACTTACTCCTGATAATAGCAATCCGGCCTCAGCAATGCAGCCTTACTCTTCCATCCCCGCCTTAAGGACTCCAGTTGGGAGGAAGTTCTTTTATTAAGTAGTTTTCCAAATGATACCTAAAATACAATCCCTTTATTGGTAAATTTCACACATTATTTCCTAGTAGATTATAGGCTTTTTGAGAATAAAATTCATTCTTTTTTATAATCCAACATAATGCTAAACATAATAGGTACTGATTAAAAATTTTTTTTAAAGAATGAACTGTCTAAATTACTTTTTCCGTGAATTCCTCCACTAAGATTTTCTTAAGGTTGGGTACAAGACACATACGTTGATATTGTGCCGGAGTTCATTTCTATTGGGTTGAGCTAGTACTTACTCTCTGGAGCATTTGTGCTAAAAACTCGTTTAACTGATGAGAGGAGAGGTCTTTCAGATCTGCAGCATTGAATGAACTTAAATCTTCCTCTTTGGCCTGAAATAAATATTACCTAGTTATTTCTGTTCATGTACCAGTTAGTAGTTAATATGACATAAAAGCAAAAATGAAGAAGATGACAAATACATGCATGAATAACATTATTATATAAAATAAACTTAGGCTGGGAAGGTGGCTCAGTGGTAGAGTGCTTGCTTTGCATGCATGAGGCCCTGGGTTCGATTCCTCAGCACCATTCAAGCAGTAAAAGTCAGAAGTGGTGCTGTGGCTTAATTGGTAGAGCACTAGCCTTCAGCTAGGGACATCACCCAGGCCCAGAGTTCAGGCTCCATGACCAACAAAATAAATAAATAAATAAAAAATAAACTTAAGGATGAGGTAGTTTATGTAATCTTGAGATTACATTACTATTATCTAAAAAGCTGCTTACTGCTAAAATAAATCTATGTTACTAAGAAAAAGATGATTAATAGCACAAATGAAGGAACTGCCACTTTTACTTTTTTCACATAATTTGTAGCATTCAAAGTATAGTGATTCCCAAAGCAAAGAAACATAAAAGCATGGCTAACTTTATGAGATAATTAAAAAAATGTATAAAGCCACATTTTTAATAGACTAAACGAGAGGAGGGAAACAATCCCATATGTTTTCTATGTACATATTCTTCTGCATTTTATTACTATTTAAGAAAACGAATTGAGAACTAATGTAAGGAGAGGAATGCACAACATTACATGTTCCCTGACACTGAGCTAATCATCTACTTTAGCTGCTGGGCCCAAAGGAACATCTGAGCCAAAGAAGGTAGCTTTACCTAGTACCAAGCAAGGGGGAATATATTGTTTAAACTAAACAGAGGGTTATAACAGATTCATGTTGTTAAAAGACTCTATTTCTTTTTTTTTTAAATGTGGTTTATTGTATGTATCTTTTCATCTTTTTTTTTTTTTTGGGTCTGGTTGTAGGGCCTGAACTCTGGGCCTGGGTGCTGTCCCTCAGCTCAAGGCTAGTGCTCTACCACTTGAGCTACAGCGCCACTTCCGGCTTTTTTCTTTTTGCTTATGTGGTGCTGAGGAATCAAACCCAGGGCCTCATGCATGCAAGGCAAGCGCTCTACCACTGAGCCACCTTTCCAGCCCCAAGACTCTATTTCTGATAGACAAATCACATACTTTTCCCCTTGATACACTTGTAAGCTACACAAACAACATTCAAGATGCAGGTAGAAGAGCAAGGCATTATCTGTGGTAAACTAGGTTACCAGGTTTCTGTTCATGGATAGGAATAATTAAGTCTAAGTTAGTTAAAAGAGCACACAATTAAATCCCAATTCTTCAGAGGGTGGGTATGAGGCAGCTCCGACTGCTGACCTCTTTCTACTTCATTTGCATCATTCTCATGCTTCTCATCACCTACTGCTCCTATTAAGGCTACTTATTATGTCTGCTTTCTTAATTACACTATAGACGATCCAAAGGTTAGGCCATTTCTGTGCTATTCATTGTGGGAAGCATATCATTTTGTATGCAGAACTATGCCAAGAAATATTGGCATATATCAAAGAGCAACATCAAAATTTGTTGTAGTAACTGAAGTAAAATTATTGCTATTTTTGTTCTCATTTTCCATTAAAGAATCACTCAGAGCTGGGTACTGGTGGCTCACACATATAATCCTAGCTACTTGAGAGGCTGAGATCTGAGGATCAAGGTTCAAAGCCAGCCCATGCAGGAAAAGTCCATGAGACTCTTGTCTTCAATTAACTACCAGAAAACCAGAAGTGGAGCTGTGGCATAAAGTGGCAGAATGCTAGCCTTGAGCAAAAAGGGCTCAGGGACAGTGCCAGTGCCCAGGCCAGAGTTTGAGCCCCGTAACTGACAACAACAAAAAGAATCATCCAGAGTATATATCTTCAGTCTGCTTCCTTTAAGGAAGTCTTGTAGAAATTAACAAAGCTAGCAATAAGCAAGTCCTAGGGCTTTCTATCCTTAATAGCTGTCATTAGCACTCACCCAAGATTTAGATTCATCTGGTTTGGTTTTAATAAACACCAAATCACTTCTATGTTTGATTGCATATTGTACATATAAATAGTATATTGTACAAGTGATGAGGAAAAGAAAACAGGTAGAAAGAAAATATTTTCCCTACTTTTTTTTTTTCTTTCTTGTCGGTCATGGAGCTTGAACTCTGGGCCTGGGCACTGTCCCTGAGCTCTTCAGCTCAAGGTGAGCACTCTATCACGTGAGCCACAACACCACTTTGGGTTTTTTGGTGGTTAAGAGTTTCATGGATATTCCTGCCCAGGCTGGCTTTGAACCACAGTCCTCAGATCTCAGCCTCCTGAGTAGTTGGGATTACAGTGTGAGCCACTGGCACCTGGCTTATCCCTACTTTTTAAGAGTTGAAAAACAAAACAAAACAAAACAAGAAAAGGCAGAATTAATGCCATCAGCATCTATTTTTCCCCTCCTCATAAAACTTGATTTTATATACTGAGGGTGAAGACAGTATCACATTGGACACACTTAACTTGTAGACAGCCTTTTCGGATAAAATTGTTTATGACATAAAGACACCCCATGAGCGGAGTCGTATGGGCCTAATTCACTACGGAATCAATATCGCACAGTACTACTCACAGTAATCCATCTTTGGCTTAAGGCAATACAGGCATTTGTCAGAGTCATGTCATAACTGCAAAGACGAAAGAAATTAAAAATCAAAGTCTATAAATAAGCACATGTTTTCATATAAGTACAGTAGGTAAAGCTATCAAATGTACTTACATTTCAAAATGTCTTTTAAATAAAAAGCTTCTAAAGAAATAGATATAGGAAACCTTTTACCTGACTTCAATATTGTGGCCTCATTTAAAACCTCACAAGTCCAAGGACAGCCATGAGAACACACCCAGGCTGTCCTTCAGAGGTGCCAACCACTCACCACAAGGTCATCCCAATGTTCAGCGAACAGATGACAAAGGGAATGGGACCTGAGCACACTGAGTGTTCATGTTCTGGCAGGAATAGCTCTCTGAACCTAGGGCAAGACACCTGAGCTAACTAACCCTGATTCGCCTCTTCTGAAAACAGGAATCGTAACACTTTTGGGATGACTAATATAACACTTATCAATGAAAAGTACAGCAGCCTGGACATGACAATATAATCTTGTGCAGAAAGTTAAAAATTACTTGTAATAGATTAACTAATTCATTACAAGCATGTTTATAAAGGAACATCTAAGAATGCTGCTCTCATGGCTATCTAGTAACAGCTTAAGGAAGGAATAAAATCCATCCAGATATTTTGAAAGGTTAGGATTTAGGAATGAGAGAGTGAATGAGTGGCGGGTAAGTACTTACTTGGGTTTGACAGGAGGCAGGCCAGGAGAATAGAGCCAGGCATTCCAATCAACTTGATTAAGAACATCAACCTGAAAACAGGGAAAACACCCAAAAGGTGAATGATCTTGCAAACTTGTAAGAGTCCCCAAGCCTACAATTCTGTCTACTCTATCAAGTCAAGGTAATTTCTAATGCTTTTTTTTTCTTTTGTGGTAGTAGTAAGGCTTACACTTTTCTGGATAGGCTGGCTTTAAACCATAATCCTCCAGATCTCAGCCTTCTAAGTAGCTAGAGTATAGATATGAGCCACAAGTGCTCAGCTTTTCTGTTTTTAATTATTATTATTTAACTGACAAACATTATTATTGAATTTATGGGGCACAATGTGGTATTTTTATTTTGTTATATGTATATAACATGGAGTGAGTAAACATAGCTAATTAACATCTCTCTCTCTATATATATATATCACATCACCTAAGTCTCTTCTAAAATAAATTTATACTCACTACTAGTGTTCTGTTAGATAATATAGAAAAATTAAGACCTAAAGCAAAAAATCCTGAATAAATACTTCCATTAAGTCAAGTTAGTTAGCCTAACAGCCAATAAATAAAGATATATTGAGTAGTACAAATAAGAAAATGTTTTAAAATCCAACCTTATCTTTAAAGTGGGAATATAGGAAATTCTTCCAGTCATCAGTGGTTATGCTCTTGTAGGAAAATTTCTCAACATAAGCCTTTAAGAATCCTAGGAAAACCTCTACGAGTGAAAATTTTAAAAGAAAGAAGAAAAAGAAATCAATTCACAGAAAGATAATTACTTGACCTTTTAGTTGTAGTTCATATTGGACTAGCTATTGGATTAGCTATAGAGAAAAAGAACAATCCAAAGAACAAGGAAACCAATGAGGGCTTTGGAAGAATGTTCAAGAAAGGAAGATAGACTGAAGCTGGGCTTTAAAGAGTACATGTAATTTGGAGGAAGAGATGAGAAATCCTATTTACAGGTGAGGAGATGACATAATGTAAATTTGACAAGACATAACCTCATAGAACTAGAAAGGAAGAAAATGAGATCAGACAGGCAGAATGGATCCAAGGGAAGGAAGGCCTTCAAAGTCAATCAACAAAGGAGAGCACCTCCATGCCATAAGTTAAGAGAAAGTCATGACGACATAAAGTGAGATGGTATGAAGGCATTAAAAAGTATGACACACACTTCAGACTGGAGGTATGGCTGGAGGTAGTGCACTAGTTATGAACAAGAAAGCCCACCAGAGGCCGGGCGCTGGTGGCTCACACCTGTAATCCTAGCTACTCAGGAGGCTGAGATCTGAGGATCGCGGTTCAAAGCCAGCCCGGGCAGGAAAGACCGTGAGACTCCTATCTCCAATAAACCACCAGAAAACCGGAAATGGCGCTGTAGCTCAAGCGGTAGAGCGCTCGCCTTGAGCTGAAGAGCTGAGGGACAGCGCCCAGGCCCAGAGTTCAAGCCCCACAACCGACAAAAAAAAAAAAGAAAGCCCACCAGAGCATGAGGCTCTGAGTTCAAGCCCCAGTACTGAAAAGAAACAAAAGATACTAAAGTGAAACTATTGTGGTAGTTTCTTTCTGAAGCTTGTAATTGTTAAAAAAAATAAAATAAGGTGTGAATTGGATTTATGTGTACTGACCTAGATGTGAATACTCAGTGAAAACACAAACAACAAACAAAACCAGATGCAGAACAAATATATAATACTGTAATAGTATCCTCTTACGTGTGCGGGGGAGATTCCAAGACTCTTAAAGGATGCCGAAACCAGAATGCACTGAACTCTAAGTGGACTACATTTTTATCTACATATAATACTTATGATAAAATTTAAGTCATGAAATTAGCAATGGCAAGGAGTGACACCTAAAAAACAAATAGAGCAACCATCACACTATAGTAAAAGTTTTCAGATTGTGATATTTCTCTGCCTCAGCATTCTGAGAGTATTTCTCAGTAGCCATACTGCTTATCAAATCAACTGTGGTATTATCACAGTGCTTCTGTTCAAGTAATTCTTGCTTTATATATTCATGGCCCCAAAAGAGAAGCGAAATGAGGCTGGTAATTCAGATATGACAAAGAGAAGCCGTAAATGAAAAGATGAAAGTACTTGACTTAACAAAGGAAGAAAAAAAATTGTAGGCTGAGATTGTTAAGATCTTCAGTGAGAGTGAATCTTCTACCTGTGAAATTTTAAGAAAGGGAAAAGAAATCTGTACAAGTTATTCTGTGTAGCTGACAGCTGAAACTCAAATTGATGAAAGCGGATAAGAGCAGATGACTATACATACACTTGTGTTCATCTCCACTTAGAAGACAGACATAACAAACTAATACTTGTTAGCCCTGGGGAATTGACCAGGGACTGTCAGCCTCTCATATATTACTCTTGTGAACTACTAAAACCTCGAAATGGTTTCAATGAGTATGTATTATTTCCTGATTATTAAAACACTAATGAGATTTTTCTTTTCACGAAGTCAAACAGCATTATACCTCTCAAGAACTATTTTAAGAGCAGAAGTAAAATTAGCAAACAAGAGATTTCTCTGGCAGAATGAATTAGAAGGATAAAATGAGCAAAGAAACAATTTAGAATTCATCTCTATTCTTCCTATTACCCTCAAAAAGAAAACAAAATTAGAAAATGCAAACTACTTACCTGGGCCTCCAAGGAGTTGTTCGAGGTAAAAAAGCAAAGCAAAGCCCTTCTCATAGGGAACTGAAGAATAGGCTACATCAGGATCCACATCCTTCAGATCAACCACAAGTTTGGTGAAAGGATGTGTCTCCCCAAAAGTTTTTATCTACAAGACACAAAGTAAGATATATGCTCACAAATGAAGATGGGTACTACCATGCCAGGAATCTAGCAAGAAGTATTACTTCAGTCAGGGGCATAACTTTGGAAGAATCAAGAATGGCTTAACTCTCACCCAATAATTAGGCTTTATTCTTATCAAGGAATCATGAGAACTGATCAACTGCATCATTAGAAAAATGATTCAATACTTGTTCAGCAATTTCAGTTGTTGTCAGGAGAGCCTTTGAAAATTGCTATGTATACTAAATAAAATTCAACCAAATAACCACATGTATTAATAGCAAAGACCTGGCTAATTCTCACTGTCCCAATCTGGACCAGGTCTTGAGTGACAGGTGCCAAAGAGTACTACATATCATCTGCTAACTCACCTATACCTCTAAAAGTGGTTTCCTCATTGCTTGTTAGTGAAGATACTTTATGATCTAAATGTTATAACAACCATACAACTTTGGATGAGCGTGTGTCTGTGTTTGTGTGTGTGTGTGTGTGTGTGTGTGTACACCATCCATTAGCTTTTTCACTCAAGACTGGTATTCTACCACCTGAGTCACATCTTCCCTTCCAGCTTTGTGGGTAGTTAAATGGAGATAAGAATCTCATGGACTTTCCTGCCCAGGCTGGCTTTGAACCACAATCCTTAGATCTCAGGCTTCTGAGTAGCAGAATTACAGGAATGAGCCCAATTTACAGCCAGAGGCTGGTGCTCATTCCTGTAATCTTAGCTACTCAGGAGGTTGTGATCTGAGGATTGCAGTTAGAAGCCAGCCCATGCAGAAAAGCGTATGAGACTCTTATCTCCAACTAAACACCCGAAAACTGGAAGTGGCACTGTGGCTCAAAATGGTAGAGTGCTAGCCTTGAACAAAAGAGCTCAGGAAAAGCACTCAGGCTCCAAGTTCAAGCCTCATGACCAACAACAACAAAGAAATTCCAGTTTATGGAATTTGAGATGCTGAAACAGGGAGATCGAGAGTCCAAAGCCAACCTGAGCTACAAAGCAAGACCTTGCTTCAAACAAATGAACAAAGAAATAAAGAGAGAAAATCCTAATGTATTTTACCGAATTCTGTAGCTCTCCCCATCCTCCCAGAGCATGGAAATGTCTGAACTTCTCACCAAAGAGTCGTCCACAAATGTGGCGCTCCAAATACACAGTATGTCCTTCATTTAACCTGAAAGAAATAAGAAGCACGGTCACAGCTGAGAGGCAAGGCATTAAAAATATAATATATATATATTACATATGTAACATATAATGCATATTAAATAAGAATATGTATTACATATGTAATATACGTATGTTATATAGGCTTTCCTGTGGGGGGCAGCAATTGTATGGCCTGACTACAGCAGTCTCAGTCCCCTGCCTAAGTGACTTTCAAACAAACAACTAAGCAGTAGGAAATCCAGCCCAGCAGATGGCAGTAGAGACAAGTAAGCTATAGTTCCAGTTTTAGATGTCCATGTATTAAATGTGACCGTGAAGCCAGGCATGGTGGTTCACATGTGTCATCTTGGGAGGCTGAGGCAAAAGTGTTTCCAATGTTTGAGAGGCCAGCCGGAACTACATAGGAAGACTCCATCTCAATAAAATAGAATGTGCTCTCTCTGCTCTTTTCTAGCTCTTTCTCAGCTCTTTCCTTCTCTTCTCTTTCCCAGCTCTCTTCTCTTTCCTAGCTCTCTTTCCTACCTCTTTCCCAGCTCTCTCTAATCTTTTCGTTTCTAGCTCTTTTCTCTTTCCCAGCTCTCTCCCTTTCCCAGCTCTCTCTCTTTCCCAGGCCTTTCCCAGCCGCGTGGAGTGCCAACCTAGCGTGGTCCCAGCAGGTCTACTGAATAAACCTACCCCTTACCTGAATACCACGTGTGTGCTGCTGTTCTTACTCGGCTACCTTTTTTTAAAAATCCTAACATAAATGGTGCCGTGACTCGGATAAAGGGCTTAAAGTCAGGATAGCTGGGATTCCTCTCTGTTTTTTTTCTCTTTTTTCTTTTTCTGTTTGTTTTTCCCTTCTTGCTCTGAGGAATACCCACAGTTCTGACAGCCTTTTGCAAACCCATCTGTCTGCTGCGGACACAGCGCATCGATACCATTGCTGCCTTCACATCCATGTCCACACCACTTCTCTACTCTGGTGAGTGAATCTACTCTCTATGGCTCTCTGTTGCTCAGTCTCTGTCCAGATGTGGCGCCACGCCAGAGAGCTCCTACGGCCTTTAGCTGGAAGGCGGGTCACCTCTGAAGCCAAGGACGCTTGGCTTAGGGGGCTTGGCCATTTCTCTCTAGAGGGCTCTGGGGGAAGTTGGGACATCACTTCCGCCTGGTCAGCTCTCCTTCACTCACCAGACTGACTCTCCTACATATTTAATGGGGTGCTGCGAGTCATGCCTGAGCCATGAAACCCCTTTGAAATGCCTCCTGTGCTCCCTGGAAAGCCAGAGCGCCTAATTTTATGCCATTCTCAGAAGTACAGTTTTTGCTACTGCAATGGTAAATGGTCAGAAGTGTGTTTAATTTCAGGCTCTCTTTATTCTCTCTCTGCCATTCATGTCCAACTTTCTACCCTTTTTTCTACAACTTTTGGCTTGTGCCTTGAAGAGTGCGACGCAGGCTGGGTCCGCGGGACCCCCCTCTAGGTTCCCTCTCAAAGGCTAGCCAATGTAGGCTTGATCTATTTGTTCAGGGTTTCTTTGCCTTTTTTCAGAAATTTGCCATCTTGGCCACATGGTAAGTTAAGGGTTTGGCCCCATCTGACCCTTAACCTTCCACTAAGTTTACTACTCCATCTGTTCTAAGGTGCCTTGCTAACAAGTTACTCTTTTCACAGGCCCTAGTAACTGAGGCCCAACCATCTGATGTGCTTTGTTGGCAAAGATGTCTAAACGTTGTCAAAATTTTAGGTTTTGAGTTTTGCCTTTTTTGTTTTGTGTTATGTATTCTGGTACTAACTACGTGACTCTAAAATATTGGGCATATCTGTGCTAAGATTCTCACATCTAAGAAGTTTTATCATTCCAGAATATTTGTTGGTCAATTCTTGATAAGAACCAGGTAAACTCTACTTATTCTACTTGATCTCCTTGTCACTTTAATTGGAAATAATAAAGGGCTTTTGTGGCAAAGATTGCAGTTCAAAGCCAGCCCGGGCTAAAAAATCCCTAAGACTCCATCTCCCAACTAACCTGTAAAGAGCCATGCTGGAAGCATGGTTCAAGACTCTTTTCTCGAACCAGCAAACACTGCAAGTGGTACTATAACTCAAAGTGGTTCAGTGCTGGCCTTGAGCAGAAGTGCTCAGGGACAGTGCCCAGGCCTTGAGTTCAAACCTCCTTGAATACCAACTGGGACAAGCCATCCCAGCAACGAGCACCTAGACTCAGCCAGTCTGGGGAACAAGGGAACATAGAGAGGAATAAAAGGAGATGATGTCACATCAGCTACTTTGTGTCTGCCCTTTCAAAATTAACCAGAGCCGGGAGGTCAGTAGAAGTAAGAAGCCTGCCCATCCAATGTCTATACCTGCCTACCTATTAATGGAACAGGAATTTATATTCTTGCCTTTGTCACCTGACTTCTCTACCTAGTTGCCAGATGTCAGAGGTAGCTAGGGACATTTCTACCAACATTTTCAGCCCCGAGTCCTTCCTCTTGCCACCTATTTGCTCTCTAGTATTTTTTTCTCCAGCCCCTCAATGTTCATGAGGCTTCTCCAGACTTCATCTAAGGACTCACGCCACTAAGAGACAGCTGCTGCTCACTGCCTTCTCTGGGAGGGGACCAAATTCCAGCCTTTTACCCCTATTGTCAACTCCCCTTGTCAGCAGGAAGTAGCCAGAGAGAATCCGCGCCCTATTTCATAATTATTAAAAGGCTGGATATAAGGTCCTCTCCTGGATGGCGAGCAGACACCCTCCTCGCAGCACCTCCTCCCAGTACAACTGGGACACCTGGAAGAGGTCACATCTGCATCCGCTGAGATCACATCTGAATTTGATGTGGCCACACCTTTCTCTGCCCATACCCTAGATAAGGCCTAGCCCAGGCCCAGACACTCACTCTCTGCTCTTTTCTAGTTCTTTCTCAGCTCTTTCTTTCTCTTCTCTTTCCCAGCTCTCTTCTCTTTCCTAGCTCTCTCTTTCACACCTCTTTTTTGCAGCTCTCTCTTCTCTTTTCTAGCTCGTTTCTAGCTCTTTTCTCTTTCCCAGCTCTCTCCCTTTCCCAGCTCTTTCTTTCCCAGGCCTTTCCCAGCCACGTGGAGGCCCAACCTGGCCTGGTCCCAGCAGGTCTACTGAATAAATCTACCCCTTACCTGAAAAAAAAAAATAAATAAATAGAATGCGACTATGTCAGGAACTATAAGAAGCATAAACCAACACCTAGACTGAATCTAACACAGAATTTAAAAAACAAGCAAGCAGAAACAAGCTGTCTACCCAGATGACTATAACAAAGAAAAACAATATTCACACCAAAAACAATTAGTGGTGGGAGGCAGGGAAAGAGATCAATCATAACAACTAACACGCAAATAATTTTTTTAAATCATACCAAAAGTGGTCCCAAGTTTTGTTGGTCACTAAATTTCCTGTCCAACTATGAGATATTTCATGTGCAATAACCTAAAGGAAAGATTGGTAAAATTTATTACCTCAACCTAAAAGGTGTTACTTAAACACTTGATAGCTCTTGAATTAAAAAAAAAAAGAAACATACTTACACCAGGGGGAAAAATAATTTAATCAAAGACCAAAGAATTATGGCATACAAACAAAAACATCAGAAAATATTTGATTAAATAGATAGATTACTCCTTTCAAAATATAGTATAAACATATGATGAAATCAAACCACAAAATTTCTTATGTCTGTTAAGTTGTTAGCATAAATGATATCTTATAAGGAGAAGCACCAAGTTATCTTTTTTGTTTGTTTATGATGATACTGGAGTTTGAACTCAAGACTTGGGTGCTGTACTTTAGCTTTTCACTCAAGGCTGGCATTCTACCACTTGAGCCACAAAGCTCTACTTCTGACTTTTTAGTGGTTAATTGGAGGTAAAAAAATCTCATGGACTTTCCCACTAGGCTGGTTTTAAATTCTGATCCTTATATCTCAGCCTCCTGAGTAGTTAGGATTACAGGGATGAGCCATTGGCACCTGGCTTCCAAGTTATCATTTAGAAGTATATCTTCAATACAACAATACGATGGGTATTGTAAAATTGTTTACTTAAAACGTCTTGGGGATTGGGGCTGGAAAGATGGCTTACTGGTAGAGTGCTTGCCTTGCATGCATGATGCCCTGGGTTCAATTCCTCAGCACCACATAAGCAAAACGAAAAAAGCCAGAAGTGGTGCTGTGGCTCAACTGGTAGAGCCTTGAACTGAGGAGCTGAGGGATAGCACCCAGGCCCAGAGTTCAGGCCCCACACAGGACCCCCCCCCCAAAAAACAACAACAACAACAACAACAACAAAAAACTTCTTGTGGGTAAACTGTTAAGAAATTTTAACTTACATTTGAGAGTGACTTGTCACCTGCCTATAAAAAAAAGAGAGAGGGAAAGAAAACCCTTAGTATGTCAGCAGATAAATGACAGACTACAGATGAAAGACTACCTCCCCTCCCTATTAAATATAGTAGCATTGGTGGCCCATTGGGTTTCAACTATGGCACTTCACAAAGCTCAAAAAAGACAGGTATTAAGAAAACAAAGCAAAACAAAACAAAAAATACAAGTATGAAAAAGTTTATTTATTGTAAAAATGTTGTACAGAGGGGTTACAGTTACATGAATAGGGTAACGAGTACCTTTGGTAGTGAGCATTGTTACCTCCTCCTTTGTTTCCCCTACCATCACTTCCCTCCCCACCTCCCCTTTCTTATTTATTTTGGACACCATTTTAAGTTCAAGGCTTTACACTTGCTAGCCAAGTGATCCACAACTTGAGTTATTCACCTACTTTGTTTGCTTTTTCAGATTATTTCTTAGATAGGGTCTTCCACTTTCTTCCCCTAAGACTGGCCTTGGATTGCAATCCTACCTATGCTTCTTGTAGAGCTGGGATTACAGGAATGTGCCACTGTACCTGACCAACATTATTCTTGTTACCCAATCCTAGGAAGTTTTCCTAATACTCGGAGGGCCAATACTCTTGTCTCTAACCTCAAAAAACATTTCCTCCTAATTCCATTTTGTATATCTACACCTATTACTTTCTTTCCTTATTACCCACAATATAGCAAAGTTGGTAGAATTCAATATGTCCTATGATACATTTTACTTTATTTACTTAGTTGCTAATCCATTTTACTTGATTGATTCTGGCAGGGATTCAAGGTAGCTTGCAAAGCATATAAAATACAGCAATACACATTGGCCTAATCCTTTCTCACACATGGTGCACTGAGTTTGGGTTTTTTTGACTGGTACCTATATATCAATTGAAAAATGTAGTTGCTTTGTGTGAATATATAATTCATCAATGGATTATTATTACCCAGTATCCCTACTCTTAACACCCCAAAACACCCTCAGCAAAATATCCTCTTTCACCAAATGGCCAGATCATTTTCCTTGAAAAATGAAATGTTGATATCCACAACTAGTAATAAAATTAGAAACAAAGGTTCTATAAACATGGGAAAGTACTTTATAAATATTACTAAGAGTCTAAATTTCTTTCTACTGGGGCTTATTTTTGAGAATACCTCTATTGCAAATGAAAAACAAAACAAAACAAAAAAACCAAGTATACACTTACCAGCAGAGTAGGAGTTACAAAAGTAAGGCAAGGATTCTCCATGCCACCATAAGGGAAAGATGGCGGCAGGACCAACAGGTCATACTGCCCCCATACATATGGGCCGCCCAGATCTTCTGCGATTTTGAGCATAGATTCAGTCTGAAAAGTGAATGCATATATAGACATATTTATTTACTTTATACTTTATCACCACAATAATTTCTTAAAGCATATATTACTGTGAAGTAAGTCAAGGATGACTCCTAACTTATATACTTGTTTTTTAAAGGATGCTTATTTTAAATGAAAATGGTAATAAGACAGGAACTGCAAATTCACATAAGGTATACTTGATTTTTCACCCCATTACTCCGACCATCACTTGTTATCCTCAAAATGTTAAATCTATAGTCTACCAAAACTGTTAGAAAAGATAACTCTAGGACCAACCTCAGAAAATTCATAAGCAGACTTTTCCACTTGCTCTTTTTCAGACCAAACCAAAGTTCTTGGGCCTATTTGCCTGCAAAATTGAAAAGTTTAATAAAAAAGCAAATCATGGCAAACTACTCATGAATTCCTAGGACAGACTTAACAAATGTCTTATACCCAAACTTGTACTAAGTAGGACTGGATTTGCCCTGTGCCGCCGGGGTTCAATGGTGTGAGATGCAAAGCTGGGGAGATGCAGCTCACTAGGGAGGCACAATCTGGGTCAAAGGAAAATTAAGACAAGTGCTCCCTTGGAAGTGGTGCTGTGGCTCAAGTGGTAGAGTGCTTGCCTTGAGCTGCAGAGCTGAGGGACAGTGCCCAGGCTCAGAGTTCAAGTCCCATGACCAACAAAAAAAAAAAAAGAAAGGAAGAAAGAAAGAAAAGGAAAAAAACAAGTGCTCCTAAAGGTTAGCTTACTGGTCTTGTTTGGTAAGACCTCCAGGGTTATGGGTTCCCCTTTCAAACTCACAATTGCAGAAAGTCACAGCTTGAAATAGATTCATTATCCCAGAAGAGGAATAAAGAAACATTTGTCTATGCACTTAAAAAATGTTTGATACTTGCATATAAGAAACATAGACAATTCAGGCACCATGGCTCATGTTGTAATCCTAGCTTCTTAGGATGCTAAGATCCAGTGGATCAAGATTCAAAGCCAGCCTGTGTAGAAAACTCTCCAAGACTCCATCCCAAAATAACCAGAAAGAACTTAGGCTGGAGGATGCCAGCCAATCAAATGTGAAGCCCTGAGCTCAAACCCCTGTACCAGTAAAACAAACAAACAAGCAAAAAACACTCAAAAGAGAGAAAACAAAGGAAATTCTTTTACATGCTACAATACAGATGAATCCTGTGGATTCATTCTGCATTATGAAATAAGCCAGTCACCAAAGACAAACACTGTATGCCTCTACTTATGAAGTTTCAAAATAGCCAAATTAATAGGAACAGAAAGTAGAACAGTGGTTACTAAATACTGGGGGGAAGAGGAGTTGTTTAATGGGTATGGAGTTTCAGTTCTGCAGATCTGTTTCACAACACTGTATATATTTAAGACCACTGACTGGCACACTTAAAAAAATGGTTATCATGTTAAATTATAATGAAAAACCACTTGTAATTTTTAAAAAGGGCAAAATTGGGGCTGGGAAGGTGGCTCAGTGGTAGAACACTTGCCTTGCATGCATGAGGCCCTGGGTTTGATTCCTCAGCACCACATAAGCAAAAAAAGGAAAAAAGCTGGAAGTGGCACTGTGGCTCAAGTGGTAGAGTGCTAGCTTGAGCTGAAGAGCTGAGGGACAGCGCCCAGGCCCAGAGTTCAGGCCCCACGACCAGACCCAAAATAAATAATTAAATAAATAAATAAAAATAAAAAAATAGTAAAAAGGACAAAGTTGAAGAATGGTAAGTGTATCACTTATATGTGCTGGAACTCTAAAACATCTTCAACCTGGGGGTATAGCTCAATGGCAGAGCATTTGCCTAGCAAGCACAAGGTCTGTGTTAAAACAAAAAAACACCCTTTTCATCCAAATTTCATGTTAAGATTTTTATGTGGTATCAACTCTAAGCAAGATTTTTGCCTTGGTAGTCAGTAGTCTCCAGAATAATTCTTCTGAAACTTAATGTGCATATAAGTATCTGCAGAACTCATTAAAATATAAATTTAGATTTAGTAGACTTGGTAGAGGGCCCAAGACTTGGCATTCCTAACAAACTCCCAGGTTAGGCCCAAACTACTGGTATGCAGATCACATTATGAGTAGTAATGGAAAACAGTGCCATCCAATATAAATTTAATAAGAGCCACAAGTCATAAATGCAAGTTTTTGTACCTGAAATTGTAGCCACATTAAAAAAATTACTTTTAATAATACTCACTTGACCAATAGATCTAAAATGCTATTTTAACACATTACTAATGAAATACTATTTCCATTCAATCTTTAGAAATCCACCTTGCATTTTGCACATCTCAGTTTAAATGGGTTACATTTCCAGTGCTCAGCAGCCATGTGAAGCCAATTAGTGTAACTGGTCATTAAACAGCACAGGACTAGTAACACGGGGTCAAAGTAACAAGCCCTAGGCTTGGGCCTACCTGAGACATTTTCAATATGTATGATTGAGCATGTTACTATAACTCACTGAGCACCAGTTTCTTCTTGATAAAATAGGAATAGATAAGCATACCTACTCCACAGAGTTGAGGATTCAATAAGATAAATGCACACAACAGAAAAATAGCTTCTTGTTGTCAGCTGCTGTGTCAATCATTATTTATTGAGTACTTCCGATAGGCCAGGAGCTTTACATGTGCTAGGTCCATTCATCCTCAGAAAAACATACTATTTGTTTTCCAGGTGAAGGAAGTAAAACCCAAATAGGGAGTGCATTACCTAAAGATGTTGCTAGAAATTATTGTAGCTGGAACCTGCCTCTAGATTTGCCTGATTTCACTACCATGTCCACATTTCTAGTAATTAAAGAATGTAAACATTCTTGATTTCTGGTTGTTTACAAATAAGAACACTCTAGTTAGTGGCAATACTCTAACAAAAACATCTTACATTTCTGTACTATTTATAGGCTCCCAAGTGCCTTAACATTTGCTTTCATTTGTTTTACATACCTACCCTAATGGTGTTGAAAGGGGGATTTGTAATTTCAAGGATGAAGAAATAGAGATTGTAGGAAGTCACTTGTTCAAGCTTACTCTAGAATCAAGACTTCAAAGTAAAGCAAAACATGCTCATTCTGTAACACTCAAGAAATCTAACAGACATCTGGTAAGGATTGTTTTAATTTAAAAATTAATTTGCGGGCTGGGAAGGTGGCTCAGTGGTAGAGCGCTTGCCTTGCATGCTCGAGGCCTTGGGTTCGATTCCTCAGCACCACATAAGCAAAACGAAAAAAGC